CTTTCTATCCATCTCAATGATGTTGGGGCCATCTTGGTGGCTCTGGGTTTGGTTTGGGGGCCATCTCAATGACTTTGGGGCCATCTCAATGACTTTGGGTTCATCTTGTTGGCCCTGGGGTTGGTGTGAGGTCCATTTCAATTCATTTCTATCCATCTCAATGACTTTGGGTCCATCTCAGTGGCCCTGGGGTTGGTTTGGGGGTCGTCTCAATGCCTTTCTATCCATCTCGATGACTTTGGGTCCATCTCAGTGGCCCTGGGGTTGGTGTGAAGGCTCTTTCATTTCCTTTCTATCCATCCCAATGACTTTGGGTCCATCTTGGTGGCTCTGGGGTTGGTTTGGGGGTCGTCTCAATTCCTTTCTATCCACCTCAATGACTCTGGGTCCATCTCAATGGCTCTGGGGTTGGTGTGAGGGCCATTTCATTTGTTTTCTATCCATTCCAATGACTCTGGGTCCATCTCAGTGATTCTGGGGTTGGTCTGGGGGTCGTCTCAATGCCTTTCCATCCATCCCAATGACTTTGGGTCCATCTCAGTGGCCCTGGGGTTGGTGTGAGGGCCGCTTCATTTCCTTCCTATCCATCTCAATGACTCTGGGTCCATCTCAATGGCTCTGGGGTTGGTGTGAGGGCCGTTTCATTTCCTTTCTATCCATCCCAATAACTTTGGGTCCATCTCAGTGGCCCTGGGGTTGGTTTGGGGGTCGTCTCAATGCCTTTCCATCCATCCCAATGAGTTTGGGTCCATCTCAGTGTCCCTGGGGTTGGTGTGAAGGCCGTTTCATTTCCTTCCTATCCATCTCGATGACTCTGGGGCCATCGTGGTGTTGTTTTGCTGCCTTTGGGTGCGCAGTTGGACGAGTTCTACGTGGGTCAGATCCCTCTGAAAGAAGTGACCTTCGCCCGCCTGAACGACAACGTGCGGGAGCCCTTTTTGGCCGAAATGTGCCGCAAATACGGCGAGGTGGAGGAGGTGGAGATCCTCCACCACCCCAAAACCCGAAAGCACCTGGGCTTGGCCCGCGTCCTCTTCACCAGCACCCGCGGCGCCAAGGAAACGGTCAAACACCTCCACAACACGCCGGTGATGGGCAACGTCATCCACGTCCAGCTGGACATCAAGGGTCAGCCCTTCCCTTCCTTCTCTCTTTGGTTTTCTTTTTATTTAGGGGGGGTTTCTCACAGTGCTGGACCTCGAAAGCTGTTAAATTTCCCCTATAGGGCAGCAGAGGATGAAGTACTACGAGTTGATCGTCAACGGGGCCTACACACCCCAAACTGTGCCCACGGGTGGCAAGACACCGGGCACAGGGGACAAGGCTGAGGCGGTATGGAGGGGGGGAAAAGTCCAAAAGGGGGCTTTTGGGGTCGGGGGTCGTTTTGGGGGTGGGAGAGATCTTGCTGGGGTCTGGAGGGTGTTTTTTTGGGGCTGGAGGGGGTTGGTTTGGGACTGAAGAGTTGGTTGTGGGGGACAAGGTGGAGGAATTATGGAGAAGAAAACCTGGAAGGGTTTTTGGGGCTGGGGGTGTCCTTTCGGTGTGGGGGTGGTGTTTTTGGGGCTGACAACGTGGGGGAATTGTGGAGAGAAAAAAAAAAAAAACCTAAAAAGGGGGATTTGGGGGTTGGGGGGGTGTTTAGA